TGCCATTTTATCATATTAATTTGAAAACTTTCATCAAACTGAAGAAAACCTTAAATATTATGTCACCCAAACATTATCACAGCTGTTATTTACAATTTTTCATGTTCCTTCTGCATCCATGCTTTATTTGAGCTATAATTAACATTGGATAAACATCTTTGTTTTTTTTTTTCTCTTTTTCCCTATTTTTTCTTTTTGAGATAAGGTTACCTTGTAGCCCCAGAGGCCTGGAACTTGCTATGCAGACCAGGCTGATTCACCTGCCTCTGCCTCCTGAGTGCTGGTATTAAAGGCATGTGCCATCACAACCAGCCTTGTTTTATTTTATTTAATAAATATTTTCTTTGAGAATTCCAGTGTATTTTGATTATTCAAATGGCAATCTTTTTAATTTTTTAAATATTTTATTATTTTTATTTTATGTATATGAGTGCATTGCCTGCATGTATGTGAGTGCACTTGTGTTGTGCAATGCCATGGAGGTCAGAAGAGGGCTTCAGAGTCCCCTGGAAATGGAGTTAAGGATGGTTTGTAGCTGCCATGTGGGTGCTGGGAATTGAACCCAGGACCTCTGCAAGAGCAGTCAGTGCTCTTAACTGCTGAGCCATCTCTACAGCCCCCAAATGGCAATCTTTTTAAGAAGCAGCCTCACAGACACCCAGAAATAGAATTTTATTTATTTTTGTTTTTGCATATGAGCGTATTGCCTGAATGTATGTAAGTGGACCTGTGTCATGCAATGTCCACAGAGGTCAGAAGAGGGCGTTGGATCGCCTAGAACTGGAGTTTCAGATGGTTATTAGTTGCCATGTGATTGCTAAGAATTGAACTGGGGTCCCCTGCAAGAGCAGGCAGTGCTCTTAAACTCTGATCCATCTCTACAGCCCCCAGAAATAGAATTTTAATAGCTACCATCACAGCCAGTATAAACATCTTTTATAAGTGTTTGTATCTTCATGTGTGAGTGTGCACAGTGATAAGCCCTTCTCATGGCCAGGCACTCTGCCTTGATGGACTGTGCTTTCAAATTGTGAGCCAAACTAACTCTCCCTTTGAGTTGCTTCTTGTCAGTGATTTTGCCTCAGGGGCAAGAAGATAAAGACATCTGAATAAAGATACTAAACATGTAAGGAAATGGTAGGAGTTTGGGAAGCCAAGAGCACATTTTATAACAAGTCTTTTGAAGGCTGTTTAGATAAATTCAATTTGACAAATTTCTCTTACTGACATCCTGCTATGTGTCATCTATCCTACCAATGTTTAGACTTTAAAGATGAAAAGCATTCCCCTGCCCTCAGGGAGCTGAAGTGAGATAAGGGAGCTATGTATCATACTGTGGTTACCTTCTGTATCAGAACAGGGATTCAAGGGGAGAGGACAGTACTGCTTGACTGTCCCAGGGCATCAGAAGGAGTCTCAGGAAGGAGAAGGTTGATTAGAAGTTTGAATGAAAAGAGAAGTTAAGAAAAACAAATAACACAATGGGGCTCAAGTAAGTGGATCATGAAAATGGCTCAGGAAAGTCTAAAGACTATGCTATCCTTCAAATTGGTAAACTTGTGAGACGTACTGGGTTAGTCAGTCAAAATGAGACCCTGAAAAGCCTGCATGCCATCCCCTCTCTTATCACCCAAATGTTTCCAAAGGGAGCCCATGCATGAGAAGGAGGTATTTTTAGTCTACTATGTTCCTATTCAAAACCTTCTTCAAAGGTAATTTCTAAAAATGAGCATTTAGGCTGTGCCAATTTAATGCTTAATGCCATTATTTTCGGAACCATAAAAATCCAAGCCCTCAATTCCCCTCATTCCTGTGTGCTGCTTTATAGGTTCTCAAATCTCATCATTTCTGAGCCACCCTCTTCCGTTCTGAGCCCACTGCTTCCTTGAAGGCTAAGGGAACTCAGGCTAACCGGTTCCACATATTCAGGGAGCAAGTGTTTCTCCCAATCCAATGAACTTGAAATTCTCAGATAGCAGCTTTGAATCCATCTCCTTCAGCATATGCTCTCTACTTATTTCCAATAACTCTATAAACTTTGTGGGCATTTTCTAATCCATTCTCTTTCTGAATTCACCTTTCTTATACTGAATGGACCTTATCAGGACCCTTATGCTGTTGATTTTATGTTTACTGTATCTCCAGTTTGGTGTAATAAAAGCATTGTTCATCAAGGAACTAGGAAATAAAGGATAGAAATATAACAAACCAAAATGACATGAAGCTTTACTTATATATGCCTTCTGTCTTCTTTAAAAAAATCTGAGACAGTGCCCAGGCTAGACTGCTATATAGAACAGGCTGACCTCAAACCCATAACTCTTCTGCCTCTGCCTCACAAGTGCTAAGATTACATGCATGTGTGAACTTTCCTAGCTGTATTTTCTCCTGCACTTCTTACGTTGGTCTATGGATTGCTATCCTTTATTTATTCCGCCTTCTGTTCTTTTATAGTTTCTTCAAGCTATCAAGCAAAAATGGCTTCTTGTAGATGCAACAATACACTCAAGCATCTGATACTTTCAGATACTTAATGTATTCCAAGAATCCATGCACACCTTTACTTTGGATGTCTAACTTTTTCAAGTCTCTGTCTCCAACAGTGACACTTATGCCATTTTATTCTCAGACATTTTTCCAACTCCTACATCTGGTTTAAACATTTGTGACTACATTGGAACTGCATGAACTTCTATGCAGAGCAGTTGATCATTTAAAGTTATTTATACAGGGTGTTGGTACAGTGGTAGAGTACATTATTCTCATGCATGAGGCCCTGAGTTTAATCCACAGAAATCTTCCAATCACCTATGTAGAGACTCAGGTCTGCTGGTGGATGGATGAAATGAGTGAAGGCAAAGGACTCAACCCTCAGGTGGGGAAGAATGAGTTTAATTCTTTAACAATTTCCAGGAAGGCTAGTCAGCTGGTGATTATGTTTAACCTTAAATAGAAATCCTGTGTCTTGTAGTACCGTGACTTAGACTTATGATGTTTTTCTCTGATCCATGACTAAGGCAGTGTTCCGAAGAGCCCAACATTCTTGTTTTCAAGAAATGTCCAGACCTCATCCTGACCATTCTCAACCTCTTCCTTGCTGTTCTCCTTTACCCCTATCCCAGAAACTCCTCAAAGGAAGAATCAAGTTTTTTCTTCTTTGTACTCCTATTGATTTCCCCAAGGTCTTAGTCCAGTGCCCAAACAGTATTGTCCAATGGCTGTTTCACACACAAATGAGCATATCCCCCAAGTGAGCACAGTCTGGAGTTCAGACATTCAGTTACTTTCTATAGGAAGATCTTTGAATCATTCAGTGATGCCATGGAGATTTAGAAGGTTCAGTCCATGGTTGCTTTGTCTCAGGTGCTTGGGCAGAACATCATGGTGGTGAGCACCTGTGCCAGAGAAGGTTGCTCACCTCCTGATGGACAGGAAGCCTATGACTTCCTGAAGAGACAGCACTGTCTGTTCAATACGTGAAAAATTATCACCAGACAAGGCTATTTTTTTTACAAGGTCATTGTTAGGAGGAACTAATTGGTTTCTAAATTGCTTTTTACCCTATGATGTAGAAAGGACTCATTTATACAGATGAGCAAAGTGAAAGTGTAAAAACCTGCAGCTACTAAGTGACTTGCTGCATATTTTATTCCAGATATATCTTGATATAAATCTGTTTTGTATCATCACCTAAAAGCTTAAGAAGGTCAGTGAGAACTGAGAGGTATACAACAGCTCAGAAAAAGAAAAGAAGCTCCCTATCCCCCATTATGTTGCCATAGTGACAGAGGAACTTTCACCTTTACCTCAGAAGGCAGAGCTACTGGAGGAGAGCAACATCCCTGACAGGAGATTTCATCTCTGCCTTGACATGATATTTACCTAGGAAGAAATTGTTACATCTGTGAAGACACTGAGTTGTCCTTACAAGGAAATTTTATGTTTTGGTTGGAATAAGTTTGAAGGTAAATTACATGTTCAGATAATAACTGCAGCTGGTGATTTCTTATATATGTGTGTGCTATAGTGTGTACATTTCTGTTTCACTATAAATATGTTTCATGTGTTTTTTAGGCGACCAGAAACTACATTGTGGTTGAGTCATATATTTTGTGAATTTAAGCCTCTTATTTCCATCTGCTTTCTCTGTATCTCTGCTAATTTCTCCATATATCTAAAACTCATCATGTCTAGATGGAAAGTCATTATTTCTACTGATATTATCCCCCTTCCCCTATAGTTTTTTATGGGTGATGTTTAGCTAAGTTTGAACATTCATTACATTCTTTTAACTCTGCTTCAATGAAAGTATTTATAAATAAACACATATACATGTATATAAAATGTATAATTTCTTCTCAAGGAATTAGCTTATAGGTGACATCTGAAATCTACAGGACATAAAACCTTGGCTAGAAGCCAATGCTATTGTTTTGAGACAGAATTCC